ATGTAGTCATGGCTGGCTTGTGGGGCAGTGGTGCCAGCTCAGTCACTGGTGACTTCCCTGCCCAAGGTATTCCCTTAAGGGTGCTTTGCGCCATTGTTATTTCAGGGCTGAAACTGAGGTAATTATTCTGGTTTTCTGGTCCCAAGAAAGAGATGAGAAAGAAAGTATGCAGTTAAGAGGTGTTCTTAACTGCCCCACAGGTGAGCCCTCAGCAGCAGGCTTACTGGCAGAAAATGAAGCCAAACTGGCTGTGAAAGCGGGATATCTAGTTACACCAGGGTGAGAGTCTCACAGGGCGACATCCAGACAACGTCATTCTTTCCTGTGTACACAGAAGGAGCTCTCTCTGCACAGCGGTGCACTGACGTATCAGTGTGATCCCTGTCTTCAGGGCTGGCAGGCAAAGGGACAAGCACTGCCTAAAGTCAGAAAGAGGCAGCCTTCTGTGGCAGCATTTTCTGTGGCCCAGCCACTGACCACTGCATCTGCCCTTATCATTACTGTGCCCAAAGCTGGTGTTGAGGAAATGTGAGAAGATGGGAGCTTCCTGTATTGGCTCACAGGAGGTGACTCCACATCATAAGTAGTCACCCAAAGCCTCCACGTCCGCTGAGTGTGTGGCCTTGTCTGATTCTCCAGGGGGTGGAGAGTGCTTTCTCATCTTGAGCCCTTCCTGGGAAATGCCTTTTTCCAGCCCTGTCAGGTTCAGCATCTTTTCGTCACCAGCACACTTCACACGTGATTGTTTCGGTGCACTCGCTTCCAGTTCTTGCAGTCTCAGCAGCAGCAAAGCAGTCTCTTGTATAACTGCTGTAGGGCTTCTTTGCTTATTGCCATCCTTAACTTTCCATCTTTTCTTCCTGGTTGCTCTTGCCTGCTGAATTCAGCTTTCAAATTAAGCGGTAGCGTAAGCATCTAGCTTTCCAGAGTTTTGTCTTGTGCAGTGACAGTGCTGTTTTTCCTGGTTCTGAAACATGTGGGACTGCAGGTAGCAGATGGAGCAGTTTTGGAGGTTCGCAGCACAGTTACAGGAGCTTCAGGTGTGTTGTGGTCTGTGGATAAACTGACTCTTGGAAAAAGGAAAGTTTTTAAAATAAAAAAGCAGGTGACCAACCTGACAAGACCTAGCTAAGTCATACGAGTGGCAACACCAAATAGATTGGTGGTTTGGAAATTGAAGCAGTGGGCTGCATAAAGGCAGGAGCGAAATCAAAGCACAGTCACTGCAACAGGCAGATAGACCTGTCCGGGACTAGAAGCTTTCAGGGCTGGTGCAGGTGGAAGAACAGGAGGCACGCATTTCAAGCATAGGGACAGAACTGAAGGACAGTAAGTAAATGGCAGAAAGCAAATTTGATTGTGGTGTACGAGGCGTACAAGAAACAAAGCTCTTCTGCCCAAAGGCTGCGTGGAGCATGGCCCTTGTGGGCTACGGGAGTTGTAGGGCAGGTGAGAGAGGAAGGAACCGACCTTGGCGTCAGTGCAAGATCCTTCCATGCCCTGCCAGCTGAACAGGCCTGGTCGGCTGGTAGGAAGGCACGTGCAAATTTTGTTCAGGCATCTGGTTAAAAAAATGAAAGCAATCCAGTGGCATGTTGTTGGGCAATACTGGAAAAAAAAAAAAGACTCAAAATATGGTGTTGGAAGGTACTGTAATCATGCTAACCTATAAAATTAGTGAACATTGTCTCTTAAGCAAGGGCATTTCTCTGTTTCCTTATAGCAGATACCTTTTGACAGAAAACGCTATGGCAGCCCTTATGGAAAAGCCATGCTGGTACTTTTGAAGGTACAGAATTGCAGTTGTGGGTTTAGAGGTAACCAGGTAGAGTAACCAGCGCATATTTGGGTAAAGGCTGCCAGCACATACAAAAGATCAAATAGCACATTGTTAGTCAGCTGAAACGAATGCAGCACACCTTTTTCTCTGGTTTGTCTACTCATTTAGCTGCTCCAGTGTGTCACATTGAGGGACAGCCATGTGCCTACAAAAAAATCCCTGTGCCACCTGAAACTCTGGTGTCAGTGCTTGCTAAGCAGATCATGATGTTAGGAAACACCAGAGGAACCATATGCTGGATAAATTAATGAGACTGCTATTGAAATAAAAATAGGTGAGTGTTTTGGAAACTGAAAAGTGTCAGTAATGCCATGGGAAATGCCCTGTGGAATGGCTGAGGTCATAGCAGAGTCCAAAACATGAGACTTTTTTTCATGCTGGATGCAACCAGTTCTTGTGGCTGTACAGAGAGGGGACAAAATGACACCTTCGCCTCCCCTATAACTGTCAGCGAATCTCTTGCATCAGGAAGAGAAAATAGGTCCTTAGGAAGGACCCAGAAGCATCCTTCTCTGGTGTGACAAAACGAGAGGTCGATGTTCTGGAGGGGGATGGTGCTGTGGGGAAGGAGCAGGTCTGTGCCCTGCCTGCCCTGAGGAGTGTTGAGCTTGGGGCAGCTGGGTGCTGTTGAACCCATGTTGCATGTATTTGTTGCTTTTGAATCTGCCTGCTTCGTGGTGGTTGCATTATTACCAGAGGCACCTCGTAGTGCTGCTTTGCATGTCACTTCTGGCTTGGGTTTTAGCCCTTCATGGCTAAAAGTCCTCTGCCAGGCCAGGTCCATGCGTGAGGGCTAGAGGTGTCCTCTCAAGAGTGCAGTCTGTAGCCAGTCCCAAGCTGTGCTTGATGAGAAAGATGACCAAATGAGTAAGGCTTTGGACCAGATCTCAGGATGCTTGACCTCAGCCTGTTTGCTGGAAGATCTCTCTGAGGTTCTACACAGCCACCTTGTCTCTGTCCCCATGGAAGGGGTGGCTGCTGACCTCTGCTGCTTGCAGTCTTCTGCCATGTGTGTACAGCGGACTTCTCAGGGCAGGGGGGTTTCCTCGCTCCATGTCTGTGCTGTGCCCAAGGTGTTGTGGCTCAGACTGCAAATATTGCTGCCAAACAAAAGCCCACAAGCCACAGAGCCAGGCCTTGGGTGAAACTGCTGTCAGCAGCTGGGGTGGCAGTGGCTCCAGGTCAGCACCCCAGCTCGAGCTTGCTCTGAAAGCTTGTTTGGAGAGGGGCTGTGAGAGTGGCTTCAGTGACAGTGAAGCAAAGACTTCTTCCTTCCAGACAAGCAGTCCCACATGGAGCTGAGCAGCAAGAGCTTCTCTTCTCACATCTCATGCTTGCTGTAATCCAGGTTTAAAGTGTAGACACGAGTGTTGCTCTTCTTTGCTCTCAGTGAGATGCTGGCATGGGCCAGCGCCCAGATCCACTGCCAGTTTCACGCCAGCGAGAACCGGGTGGCGCTTCCTCCTTCTGATGGCAGCAAGCATGACGTGCAGGCAGAAAACGAGACAGTCTTCGTCCCCAACAGAGGTGAGTGCTACTCCTGTAACCCTGGGCAGGGACACGGAGAGCACAGCAAGCAGGAATCAACATAATGTGTGTCTTAAGGGCAGCATGTATACAAGGGAGCGGGAAGTCTGTTGCTTTCTTTGTCCAACTCCCTGGTGATGGCTGCTGCCCAGCTGTTCTGGGAATGTCTTGGTACTTGTTAGTACCAAGATCAGAGTGGCACTAGCTTGTGATGGTTGTCTGCCCAGCTGTTCTGGGAATGTCTCATGATCTAACCGGGGCATCAGATGTTTCCTCCTCGGCCCCTTCTCCCCATTCCTCACCATGAGGATAAGGCCCGGCTGGCCTGGGCACTGCTGCAGGTTGGGCAGCATTCATGTGGTTCTTCTCTTCCAGGAGAGCGGGGTCAGTGTATCCTGTCCACCCCACCGAAGATTCTCTTCTGTGACTTGCGGCTGGATCCTGGGGAGTCAAAGTCCTGTGAGTCTGTCTTCTCTTCCCCTGCTCAGAGAGGTCATCTCTCGGGAGCCCCACTCTCAAAGCCGGCTTTGCAGACCTGAGTGCTCAAATGGGAGATCCTGGTGCTCGTGAAAGACGAGGTGCTTTGGTGGGAGCATGAGTGCTAAGGAACTGCTGCATCGTCCAAAGTCTGTTCTCCAATGTGAGGGCTGGGTACTGCCATGTGTCGCTCAGTCCTGCCCCTGGCCCGCCTCCTTTGCTGCAGGTCCATTGTGTAGCTGGGAGGCATAACATGTTTTGAAATACCTGGCTGCAGCTGAAGGAACGGTTACACGCACCTGCGTTTCCCTGCCTTTATTTCTTCATCCACACTGGAGTATTCTTGGGATTTAAGCTGGCGTCCTCTTAAGATCTGAGCTGCTTCTTCAGGTTGTGGCAGCCCTGGAGATTGCAGTCTTCTGCCTGTTCTAGTTTTCCTGCTGTAAAAATGAGCACTTCTCATCTTCTCCACTCAAATCTCTCCATGTCTCCAAAGTCCTCCGTGTCCTTCCAGTGGGTCCCCTTAAAGCTCTCCTTCATCACTGCTTTCCCTTTTCCTGTTTAGAGAAAATTTTATCATTTTCACAAGGAATTTGCAGCAAATCATTTTTGTTGTTCCCAGCAGCTTCTTCTAGCTGAGTAGACAGCTGTGAAAATACGAGTATGTGCTGTTGTCTCTTGGTCAGTGGCTGCATGACCCAGCCTGTCAGTTCATGTCGGATCCCTTCTGCATTCCAGTGGCCTGTGGTCTAGCAGCAGCGTAAGGTTAGGCATTGCAGGCTGCGTGTGGAGAGCTCCCGTGGGTTGTTGTAGGGATCTGCTGGGAACAGTTGAGGAAGACCTCTCAAGTCACAGAGCAAGAGAGCGGAGAGGGCAGTGCCTGGGGTGGAGGGGGCTCTGCTAGAGCATTGAGCTCTGGGGAGGTGAGAGCAGAGCTGCAGGTGAGACCAAGGAGCTGTGACATGCTGGTTTTGAAGCTGGGATCTCCTGCCTTTGTAGGCTTGGTGGGGCCTGACTGGAGGGAAAGGCAGACAAGGTGGTCAAGCAGGATGGGGCTGCGCTGTCTGGGACTGTGTCTCCTGAACTGCAAAGCCTATGGCCCGAGCACATTTAGTTAGTTACTTACTATTCTACAGCAGCATGTGGGGGAAAGAAGCTGGCCCTGCCACATTGGAATCAAGGTCCCTAGTGCTTTCCAAAGGTGTCCCCTGTTGGAGAGGAGGAGGAGGAGGCAGAAATTTCAGCTGGCCTGAGGCTCACCTGGATTCTCCTGCACTCCTTGCTGCTGGCAGATGTGGGGCTGGAGCATCCGTTCTCTGGGAGCAGAGGGAAGCCCCTTTTCCTGCCACATTTCAGGCGGGATCAGCAGTCTCTGGGACTAGATCGGTGACTACAATCCAACCTCCAGATGGCTGGGATGGATTGAGAGGACTTCGTTGTGCACTGGCTTTGCAGGCAGAAGCTGTTCAGCCCCCAGCTAGGCTACCGATAGTCTGTCCTGCCCAGTGATGTTGTACTGTGTGTGTGTCCACTCTGCTGCTGGGTGACACTGGCACAAGCAGCCTGCATCTGCCTTGCACTTCAGATGCAGCTCCATAGGAAGGACACAAACTCTTCTGCATTTTGAGGTTCCTCAGCCATACGTTACAGCCTCTGCCTTTGTTTGTGTGATGCACACGTCCATTGCAGGTGTCACATGCGATGCTGCTGTGTGTGGGAATGGGCTTTTTAGCACTGAAAGCCCCGTATCACAGCCCTGGCTCTGCCAGGCTGTTCACACCAATCCCGTCGGCCTGTGATGCTGCTTCTCTCACACGAGACTGCAGCTGGCACGCTTGCAGATCATTCCTGGGGGCTCCTGCCAGCTCTGTGGAGGCAGAGTTAAGGCTGTGTGGGTGTGTATCTTAATTCTTCATTTCCTGTTTTTCAGAAGTTTTGAGTTTTGCTGTACAGTTTGGAAAGGCAAAAAAACCCCAAGAAATCTTAATTCTGCTTCAGCAAAGTACTACGTTATTAAACTTTAGCCAGAGCTGGGGTGTATAGCTGAGGTTGTGTCAAGCTGTCTCTTGATAAAAGGCCTTGTTTTCAGTTGCTGACCAGCTTACTCCCCCCATATCTTCCCCTTGCTATGCTGCCTATATGTGGAACTTGACTCACCTCCCATCCCTTTGACACACTGCCCAGAATGAGCTCTTTAAATTTGTCACCATAAAACATTTTCTCAAGCCCTCAAGTAATTTCTGTGTCTGGTGTTGCCCCTTCTCCAGTTTTGTTATACCTTTATAAATATTTGGTAGATCACAGAGAGGGGAGGAAATGGAAGCAGCCTGGACATGGGCTGGGAGCCCAGCCAGAGGGTACAGCGGGTGGATAAGGAAGGCATCCGTAGCATCAGGAATGTGCTTCCTTCTGGGATATGCACGGAAGCTGGGACTTCCCGAGTCTGAGTCTCTGCATTCCTGTGCCAGGTAGCAAACCACCCAACCTCCTTGGACAGCAGTGGTCTCTGCTCAGGTTATCCTGCAGGGTAGGTCTTTGTGAGCACTCTTGTTAAGCCTTGTACAGAGGCTTACAGCACTCTGCTTCCTTCCTTGGAAATAACCTGATTTTCCTCCCTGTCAGGACAGTTCTCAGCCTTACCTGCACCCCGGTCCAGCAGGACAGCCTTGTGTTTTAGGGTGTGTCAGCCTGGGGATGCTATGCATTAGCATGGGCTTTTTTCTTCTTTCCAGCCCAGTTATTTTAAATGTAGAAGTTATATTTAAAATGTAACCCAAGCTTTTAATCTAAGCCTCAACATTTAGGATGTGCCAGACATGGGGAAGGATCTGTGGTTTCACAGCAGGATGCTGCCCTTCCTCTGGCAGGGTGTATCTGCATTCTGGTGGGCAAGCCAGAGAGGTGGAGACTTTCCACAGTTCACTGTTTGCGCCTTCCTTATTATACAGCGGACAGTTTGGGAGAGCTACAGAAGTATTCAAGCTGTGTTGAGTGGCGTTGGGGTTTGTGTGGTGGCCAAGGGGCTTTGAGAGGGCCGAATGTGTTGTAAGGCCGGTCCCTGGCATCTCAGAGATCTCGGAGTCAGAGGCTTTGTGTCATCAGTCTGTCAAGGGGGATACACCACAGGTTGTTGTGAAGGTCTCTTAATTGTTTCTTGGCCATTTAGACCCAGTGCTTCAGAGAAAAACAGAGGAAGAAACTAATTTTTGTTGCTGAGTTTGGGGTTTGTGTGAAGTGAATGTCAAAAGAGGCATGAGGCACCTCTGCCGCATGGGGCAGAGCCCTGAGGAAACCACAGTGTGTGACTGCATCGCGAAAGCGGAGTGTGAAGTGAGTGCACAGAGGCAAATTCAGGTTGAACTCGTGATGAAGTAAGTTTAGTTCTCATGTGTTTGTGTTCCTGGATTTTACATCTTTCACATTCTTTTGAGGCAGCGTTTGTGTGTGTGGTTGTATGTGCTGGAAGCAGCGTTTGGATGACGGTGCATGTGATGAGAGAGCAGTGCTGTGGTGCAGAAGAAGCCAGGGATGTGTTTGGCCTGCTGTGGGAAAGGGGACATGGCAGAAAGCACCAGGCACTGTCCCTAGCTCAGCAGCACTGCTGGTCCTAGCCCTCGGTGCAGGGAGCCTGCAAGCGACGGTTCTGGGAGCTTCCTTTTGGCCTTTGAAAGCAACCTCTTCTGCACTCCTTGCAGATTCGTACTGTGAGACGCTGCCCATAGACGGCCCTCCCTCTTTCCGGGGACAGTCAGTGAAGTACGTGTACAAGCTGACCATCGGCTGCCAGCGTGTCAACTGCCCCATCAAGCTCCTGCGCGTACCCTTCCGTGTCCTCGTGCTGCACGGTAAGGCTGCACACTGCCCCCCCTGCAGACACAGCTCTGGCCACACCCTGCCCCACTGACGGTCTCACCTCCTCCTCAGGGCTCAAGGATTATCAGTTCCCACAGGATGAGGCTGTTGCGCCCTCAAACCCTTTCCTGGAGGAGGAGGAGGGCTTGAAGAAAGACTCTCGCCTGGCGGACCTGGCGACAGAACTGCTCATGGTGGCCACCTCCCGACGCAGCCTGCGTAGGTCCTATCCCCTGCTTGAACCTGCGGTCATAACCTGGGTGTGAAGCACAGGTCAGGGCTTGCTGCAAAAATCTCTTGCTGGCAAAGCAAAGCTCCAGCTGGGGTTGTGGAGCAGCTCCATCAGGGCCTGCTTGGGTCAGAGTTTGCTGTGGACACCTCCCAGCTGGTCTCAGGCTCTTCCTACTTCAGCCAGAGACACCCTTTCCCCAGCATATCGCAGCCAACGCCTGGTTTGCTCTTGCTCAACCAGCCTCCAAGGACTATCCTTCACACCCAAGCAGCAGGCATGGGGTCATGTCTGCTGGGCTCTGTGATTAACCCAGAGCGCTATATGAAGCAGAGCCTTGTCCTGCTGCAACCCTTTCGCCCCGGTCTTCTTGCTCCACAGACCTGTATAACATCAGCAACACTCGTGGGAAGGTGGGGACATTCTGCATCTTTAAGACCGTGTATAAGATCGGAGAGGATGTCATTGGGACCTTTAACTTCTCAGAAGGAGACATCCCATGTCTGCAGGTCAGTGCTAGCATTGGGGGTCACTGTGGGGAGAGGGATTGGGGTGGCACTGGGCTGCTGAGGGGTTTCTACTGATGGTTCCTAGTGGGACACTCAGGGTGTGAGGTGGGGAAGGGCTCCAGTTCTGAGCTCATTCGGGGAAACAGAGGCCCCCAGGGCTTTGCGCCAGGGCTGTGTGAGATTGTGAGTGTGAGCACCCTGCCAATCGCCCTGCAGTTCTCGGTGAGCCTGCAGACGGAGGAGAGCATCCAAGAGGAGTTCCAGCGCCGGCGGGGGCAGATCAGCACACACGCCCGCCATCAGGAGGCCTGCCTGCACACAGCCCAGAGCAGCTTCAGCCTGCCCATCCCGCTCAGCTCGACCCCGGGGTTCACCACCAACATCGGTTAGTGGCCACCAGGGAAGGGACACACCCCTGCTTGTCAGCAGGGCTGCGTCCTGTGGGAGGGGGCTGGCCTGCGTGGGTGGGCTTGTTTGCATGTCCCCTTGCCAGGACAGCCAGCGGTGACAGAGCTGCTGTCCCCATCCCTTGTGGTGTTGGCTGCTGACCCCGACTCTTGCCCACAGTGTCCCTGAAGTGGAGGCTGCACTTCGAGTTTGTGACCTCTGGGGAGTCGGCGGGCGCTTGCTTGGTTCGTGGGAGTCAGTCAGAGGCCATCACCTGGACTGGGGTGGAGCAGATGGAAGTGGACACTTTCAGCTGGGACTTGCCCATCAAAGTCCTTCCCACCAACCCCATCCTGGCTTCCTACGTATCCCAGTTCTCCAGCACTAACTCCATCACCATCTGAAGTGGGAAGAGCTGGTAAGGAGACAGTGGTGCTGCAAGCAGG